TTCTGATATTCAATATCCATATTTAAAAGTTCTATAGACTTGCTTTCATAATCATCAAAGTGTTAGTGAACATACTGTATTACTGTATGAAATATATTAAGGAGTTGTAAAAGGGCACTATTGAAAATACATTTTCTGTTTAACTCGGAAGATTTTTTGAGGTCATATTTATTCGTTGTAATATTATAACATCCCACAATTCACAAAATAGTTAATATAGCGGTTTCCCTTTTTTTCAATTTTTTCAAAATGTTTATTGCATCAAATTGAGTATTGCCGTTTTCATTTTTATCTTGAGATATTTTTAACAAAATAGATACAATTTGAGCATAATTTAGTCGTAATGCTTTAGTTGCATAAGCATTTGCGGATCACCGTGTTTGTGAAGACGATTTAATAGTTAGCGTTTCATTACGTTTAGATGTTGACATAAAAGTTTTCAACGATGAGTTGAAGACGAAAAAAGTTATTAACAGATTGAATTGTACTAAAATATTCAACTGCTCCGTTACAATTTTCAACTGCATGAACACCGGCCAGGTTTAAAGAGTGTGCCGCACACGGTAAAAATAGTGAAAAAGGAGCTAGTGTTCTTATCCTTGTTAGTAATCCTGAGTACATTCCAACCATATTACTGGCATTGTCGTAGGACTGTCCAACACAGTTTTTAATAATATCTATACCAAAGTTCTTAATTATTTAAACTATAATAATGGTTAAATACTCTATTGTATGCCTAAAATATGACAAAACGGTATATAATTAATTTTATATGGTTGAAGTCGATGGGCCCCTCTATCGAGTGGGCCCAGTGAAAATGTCCCATTTGTACTTGCATAAATATTAAATATGGCCCTGTACATATGCATTCTTCGTCTCTGTTAACTCACATATCAGTATAGGTACCTATACATAACATAACATATACTAAATTTCTTTCTTAATTTCTAATACGCTTTTATCGTTTTGCATACTGCAGTATATTTGAAGGTATATTTGACAATTATTATCAAACATAAAGACAATTATCAGTACTCTCTCATAAATCATTAGTATAGATTTTCGATGTTATTAATTTCAATGCCATTAATAATTATTTGTATTTTATAAATCGCAATATTGTATCTATACCTACTTAGTACTTACAAAGTTATAAACTCGTTTTAAAATTCAGTAATATTCTGTTACGTGCCGTGAACAAGAAAAATGTTCTGCAGTTATATGTCGAACAATACACCACACGATTAACGTGTGAACGTCGTGAAAATTTTCCATTTTTTCAAAACATGATACCACTCTATACCACAAGTCCACAAATGAGTTCTTCATTCAATTGATGTCAAAATAATAATTGAATTCATGTATTATTATTTATCACTATTAAATCAGTAACCACACATTCAAAATTTGGATGAAATCAACTTCGCGGTATATGTGGGAACATCACGGTATTCGTAGTAGAATCCGTAAAATTGGTGGTAGAAACCAGATTTAACCACGTGGTTGGACCAATCTGAGCACTGCAACATTTCACGACACGACACGTCGACACGGTGCAGTGTGAACTCACCTAAACTTACCTAAACTCACCAATTTTCTTCTAATCAAAATAATTATAGATGACATTAAGCCGCACTACCAAAGCGTGAACATTGTGACCAGCACGATAAAAGTTGAATATATTCAACTTCACGGTATTCGCGGTATCGTGCTGGTCAACACGATCATAATTTTACAATCACATTTTGGTAAACCAATCAGAAAAAAGTATTTTACACGACACGACACGAGCAGTTGTGAACCCACCTTTAAGGTTTATGATATTAACATAGTCACCTAAAATGACCCAACTTTTTTCTTTTGTATTTTCAATTGCACGTTAGCTATAACCAAAGAAATTATATTGTGTTTTTGTGTATATATAGTATAATGGATCTATGACTGTGCTGTACTCATAGACAAATATAAACACGTGTTTATATGTCTATGGCTGTACCTAAATAGCTTCTTCATTACGCCTTGGACGCCTTGGACACCTCCCTTGAACCGTGTAATAGGAAATTTATATTTAATTATATTCAATAACTATTGAAAAAAAATGTTCAATCTTTTTTTAAATTTATAATGTTAACTGCCGTCATAATTTATTTTTAAGTATCATTAGAAAGTATTCGGAAAATAATCATGACTAAAAATAAATATATTATCAAAACATTTTAAACCCAAAGATGTCTATAATATAATACAATTTAATATAACATTTTATTCAATATAACATTGATAATGTTGTACGTCAATTACATGAAGTTAGGAATATTGTCGACAACGAATTTTCAAAATATTTTGTTGAATTTCAGAGAAAATCAAATGATTTAGATTTTGAAATAAAAATGCCTAGAATTACAAAAAGACAGAATTATAGACAAAATATTCCAAGTAATACGGTTCAAGATTATTTTAGAGTTTCTTTATTTATACCTTTTTTAGATTCATTAATAAGTCAGTTAAATTACAGATTTATTAATCATAAAGAAATTATTCAAGGGTTTCAAATGCTTTTTCCAATTGAACCTCTTACTAAACAACAAGAAAAATTGATCGAAAATTTGGTGGAATTTTATGCTAATGACCTGGAAGATTCATTAACGGTTTTAGCTGAAGTAAAAATTTGGCATCATCAAGTTTTCAAACTACGACTGGAAACCAATTTAAAAATGGTTACTGCAATTGAAGTAATCAGCAATTGCGATAATGCCCTATATCCCAACATTCATAAGCTACTGACAATTCTTTTAACGTTACCCGTAACATCTTATGAAGCCGAGAGGTAATTTTCAACTTTAAAGCGAATAAAAACATACTTCAGAAATTCAACAGCAGGCAATAGATTAAATGGTTTAGCAGCATAGAATATTCACCGAGAAATTAAAGTTGATATAGATGTCGTTATAAAAGAATTAGCAAAGAAAAAAAGACAATTAGACTTTGTAATTTAAAATTTATAATATTGTTATACATATAATAATTATTAATTTTGTAAACTTCTTGAAAATTGCTAAAATTATATGTAACTTTTATCTAAACATACGTGATATAAATTATTCATTTAATAAAACGTTAGACGTCAGTAGTGCATTCAGAAATAATTATGGTGGTGGTTTGATTCAAATCGTTTGAATAAAACAATATAATAGGTAAATATTAAATAGTAGTCGTCTGAAATTAATTTTCACTTTGACTCATTAACTTTACCAAAAATAATTAGGGGAAACTGTATACGCTACTGGCGGACACCTTCCTTGAAACAATTCTAGTTGCGCCACTGCCAAGACTAGTCTTAACTGTCTAATAACTGAACTTGACATGTCCTGCAGACTGATCGAATTATTTATATTTTTTGTATTGGGATAAATTGGATAGAGATAGTTTGGATTTCAGGCATGGAAATACTGGTCAGATACATGCTCATATATTATTTTCTTTAAACTATCTTTCAATCTACCTTAAAAAATGTATATATTATGTTTTTATTAAATTGTCAAAATTGTATTTATTTGTAAAACTTGAATTGAAAGTGATGTAACTTAAATTTTATATTATTATAGACAATTTAAATATTTCAAATAACTAGGTATTTGAAAGTAAAAAATGGGTGGGTGGCCTGGATGAATTATTTTTTCCCCTGCTCGACTTTGGTTACCATTCAGCTCCTGATTTCAGGAGGGGTGTTGGAGGTGTAGAGAAAAGTACTTAACTGTTTACGCTTTAGTTTAGTCTTCTACCACAAGTAAGACTATTGTCTAGAGATTAATTAATATTATATTATTTGATTTTTTGTTAGATTTATTTGATTCTTATTATTATTACACCTATAAGGTAGTAAAGTCTCTATTTAGATAAACTTAAGTTAAGAATGGTATAGACTAAATGTATATAATTTGCAGTTGCCGAAATGCCGAGTTGTGCCAGTGATTATTCCAAGCTATAATCGAGTATTTTTAGGATCGGTATTTTAAATTTTAGTGGGAAATTTATTCAAATGTGATGCAACATTGCTATAATATTATAACAAAAAAGATTAAGTTATGCACGAATTTAGGAATCATTATAATAATATCTAATATTTCTAAGATACTTGTGTTTAAAACCTATAGTAAAAAATAAAAAGAACAATATTTTGGCACAGATTAAATATTATCCAACAATCGTTTGTGAACTTTTATCACTTATCACAACGACTATAGTTTTCCATTACTCTATTTAGTATTTATTGCCACGGCTGTAGATACTACACAGATAACTACGTATTATCTTAACAATATTATTTATTTATAATATTAATTTTGTGTAAACAAGTAACAGAAATCAACACGTACGATAATATAAGCATTTTAAAATTTTATGTTAACAATTATTACCTACTTTGAATTGTGGAATTGTGTAATTGTGTTTTATTTCTTAATCACTATTT